CTTCACTATAGCCTAGTAGTTGCACTCCCCTCACTATAGGTATATTTCTGTCTATTTGATATAACCATGATTAGTAAATCGGTTATTCACAGGTTGTTCGTAATCAGAGCTGGATCAATTTACCGTTTTTACCCTTAAAGTTACTTCTTGTTCCTTAAGTCTCACTGATCCTCTAATGAACATTTGATTTGTGGTCCAACCACCAAACCGAATCCCTCTCGGGCCAATGAGAGGGTGAAGCCCCTTGTTCAAGACTGGGAGTCAATACTTAAGGGAATAAACTCTCTACTACCCGTAAAAGCGGGTAGGAGAGAATTCTATCTTGCACCCTATGTCCCCAATTATTCACCGAGTCTTACCCTTGAAATGGGAGGCTTATTGAAGCGGTGAACTCTGGCCACTCTCACCCATGCAAATCTAAGGATAATTCTGAATAAACAAGAGTTCATAGTTAGCTCAGGATTAAGGTCGAGTTACCTAGGTCATCAAGTGAAAAAAATCAGTCTCAATAGTAAACGACATTATAAAGTGAGAGTGATTTTCTTCATGGTCTGATCTTATGCAATACTCATTGCATAGGACGCCTCCACTAACATGTCTCCACATGTATAATTTAGTGATCACATTGTTTATATCATATACAAAAGTGGGCCGCATTCATAGTGTCCCCAAGGATAAGGCTAATATATATCATTTTGACTATATACTTGAACTTGATCCACTCTTATGTCTCTACATATAGTTCAAGTAATCATACTATAGCCGGAGTATTCTTAGTTTATTGGATTTAGATTAATGATCGTAAAATTCACTTTATTCAATAACAATCTTTACTGATGTTAAATAAACATCAATAATAACTTTATTGAAAATAAAATATGTTCTTGTTTACTAACTATGAGTTTTAGGACATAAAACCCAACATTAGGGGCACACGAGGTAGCGATATCCTCAAAGGATAATGGCTCCAAGACACCTTGAAACTGTGGAGGACTGTACATGTGAGGAGGAAGTGCATTGATAGATGATGGCAATTCAAGGGAACAAATTGTGAGGGATTCAGCAAGATTCTGAGATTGAGGTGAAGCATTTTTAGACTTCTCTTTGTGATCATCATCCTTCTCACTGCCGAGGGACGAAAGCCAATTCATAGAAGCTTCAATGGGTGAAGGAACCTTTAAAACAACAGAATCAGAAGAGTTCCTTGTGATGCTTCCCTCTTCTTCTTCTTCTTCATTTACAAAATTCTGAATAGGCTTGAGTTTAGAACTTGACGCAGTATTCTCTCCAACCACATAAACCCCTCTCGGTCTGCACTTTCTCTTGTCAGTGACCCAGAAACGACGTAGCCAACACTATAGCAAAGAGGCGTCGCTGTAGACACAAATGCGGAACCTGAACCACATTGTATTTCTGGCGAGACAGAAGCTTGAATAGGAGGCGTTTTACTACAACCGGCATATGAATTCTCCCCTATTACGACTTTATCATCAGCTATGGGATCAAAACTAGATCCGTTCTCCATTTTACGCATGCTAGTAAAATTGAAATGGAGGGGATGAATACTATAGAGCAAAAGTCTCCGATGCAAAAGTCCAATGATAAATAAAACTATATAATTAATTTATATAAATAATTACCTCTTCTTCCAAAGTCCAATAATAAATAAAACTATATAATTAATTTATATTATAATTA